AAATCTTGATTATAATGACGCGGAGCAACTATCGAACTTGGCTATTAAAATGAAAAATTGTGCTACGGTCTTGGAACAGATGAATTATACTTCTGATCTAAATCCTTTAGTTACTTTAGGAAGAATAGTGAGTCTTTTGCCTCAACCTATACAAGCGCAGTGGTCGGAACTGGTGGATAGATTGACTAAAGACGATAGAGAGCCGACGTTTGCCGAGCTCACTAAGTTTATAACATCCTGTTCCAGAGTAACCAGTAGTAGATTTGGACAGTCGGCGAATCGTTAGAAAAAGGGACATAATGAAAAGACGAACTGTCACTTGCAATCGGGACATTGAAACGGCTCGACTGTGAAAACTAAGTAGAGTTTGTGTTCCGACGACCACTCTGTTTACAAATACCCGGAATTTAGGAAACGAATTGTTAACCATACGATATGTTGTGCATACTTTCAAATATTTTATGTCGTAATGATTTCGGGATGAATGGTCGCTGTCGGCCTGTCGATATATCACATATTACTTTTGTGCTACCGAACTGAACATCTTCGAATACTAATGATGTCGTGTCATCGGATCTTAGGTAATTTAATTCAGTGTCTCTATCTTGCAACTTTGCCAGACCGTTATAATCGATTCCACTTTTAAAAAGCGCGTTTATCGTCGTTCTCGGCCTTTAATGTATCGTATATCGGACGTGACCTAGGAATGAATTCCAATTGTCTGATCTCCCTTGGGGAAAAATTATCTTGCTTTGCGTTTAATGCTTTCGTGTTTTACTGCCAAGTAAATTGCTAGCAGTTCTCATCCGAAAGTACTATATCTTGTTTGTTTAGGATTGAGTCTCTTCGAAAAAAATGAAAGCGGTTCCCATGTGCCGTTTACTAACTGTTGTAATACGGCTCCTACCGCCACATTCGATGCATCAGTCATGATAGCTAATGGTGTTTCGCTCTTTCGTCTAGCTAGTGTCGTTTCTTTGTTTAGTGCTTTTTTGGCGTGCTCGAATGCTTGTATCGCCTCTGATGATAATTGGAATGTCCGGGCATGTCCCCGTAACGCGTCCGTTAATGGTTGCAGTATTGCCGCACAATTCGGGATAATAATTTGCTAACCCGAAAAATCGTCGTAACTTCTTCCATGGGCCGGGTAGTGGATAATCTCTGATGGCATCGACTTCTACTGCGATTGATGTAATGCCTGGAGAAGTTACAATGTGACCTAGGAACTGTAAGGATTTCTTTCCGAATTCGCACTTCTCAACGTTTATGGTATTGCCGTGTTCTCGTAGTCGCGTGAATGATTGTCGTAGCTGTTGTATATGCTCATCTATAGTGGCTCTGGCTACTATTAAATCATCGACATATGCGTATGCTCCATTTAAACCTCTGATGACCTGGTCAGTAAACAGTTGAAAGGTTTGCGCTGCGTTATTCAGCCCGAAAGGCATGTGTAGAAATTCATACAGCCCAAATGGCGTCGTTACCTCTGTCTTTGGTATGTCTTGTGGAGCAACAGGAATGTGATAGTATGCTCTAACTACGTCGATCTTCGAGAAGACAGTAGCGCCTTCTATACTGTAGGTAAAATCGTGGGTATATGGTATAGGATATCTAACGGCTACCGTTCGATTGTTGAGTGCTCGTTGGTCTCCCCATGGCCTAACGTCTTCATTCTTTTTCGGGGCCATATGTATTGGGGATGCCCACGAGCTGTTAGAAGACCTTACAATGCCCAGCCTCATCAACTTGTCGAATTCCTGCTTTGCAAGTGCTAGTCTTTTTCATAAGTCTTGAGATCTGAACGCTATATCCGTTTCCTAAGCTATTCTGGTAACCCGCAAGCTAGAACTACACAGCGACCTGAACGCCCGAGAGAAGACGCAAAGTATGAGAGGAATACTTTACTCCAGGGTTCCTTTTTGTACAGAAAACATGGGTGTTTATCGATGTTAACGTTTATTAAATCGACATCAAATTTCGGCCAATCCGTTGGCGACACATTATACTACTGACCAATAGTAGCACGCCACGTTGGAATTCTACAATGCTTCACCATGCCCTGATTGGCTAGGACTCTTCGGCTCCTTTTGGGCCTCTGGAGGCTCCGTTGAAGTTCTCCGAAAGCCGACTCAACACTTTTTGGGTCTAATCTTCTTGGTCTTGCATTAATTGTTGGCCCATTCATTATGATATGGTGCTGAATGGAATGTTTGAGATCCACCTTACTGTATGTTACTTTTACGAGTTCGGGAAATTCCTTTAACTACAATTTATATGGATCACAGCGGCTTTTATGTTCCACTAGATTCATGGAAACGGCTTCTGTGAGTGTCCCTTTTATCGAAGTGGTGTGACTACCATTTATATGTATGTGACAACGCGAGTCTACTAGCGATGCCTATTATGGGCACTGACAGATCTGCTATGACAAAGTCCCAGCGGTACGAAGCGCCTCGTCCGAAGTCTAAGGACAACTTTCGTTTGCCTTATGTCTTAACATCCGATTTGTTCGCTGCTCTTAGTTCTAGTGAATCATTAACGTTTCTTCTCTCCTCGCCTACTGGAGATATTACGCTGATTTCCGCTCCAGTATCAACTAAGAATTGCGCGCCTGTCGTTCCGTCTTGTATATAAAACAGGCGACTATTTGCAGGTATCATGTTCTTTGATGCCGTCGCCATGGTTAATCGTGGGTATCGCTTACCTGTTTCGCTAAATCTACAAAGTTGCAGACACTTCCTAGCGCTGTAGCCGTACTTTTGATGATACCACCATATCAAGGGAGCTGTGCGCCGTCTAGAAGCTGGTCGGTTTTTGTCGCGCGAGAGATCTCGTGATAATCGTCGTGACCTTTCGCTTTATGTTAATTCCGCGAGCTTGCGGCACAAAACATTTACCTCTTTCTGTATAGCACTAATTCTATCATCTGTCGTCACGCTGTGTAACGCAGAGCTTGTTTGCTTGGTTCTTTCGTATATTTGATAGGCTATTTTTGCTGTGTTGTCTATATCGGCGTCCGTATCTCCGACGGCTAGGATCTGCTGCACATCTGGCGGAAGTAGGAGAAGCCACAGTTGATAAAACAGGTTATTGTCTGTTTACCTATCGCCCAGCAGACTTTTCATACACGTTTTTAGCTGTGACGGAGTTCTATCCTCTATTTGTACTCGGTTAAGAAGCTGTTAAACAGCTTGTTGACCATTTAGAGAGAGAGTTGTAATTACTGCTTGCTTTAGCATGTCGTATGTCGCTTCAGTGTCCGGTTTAGCTGACGCCTCTCGTACGCTATCTGCCACTTCATCTGGAAGGATTTATCTCTTTGTGAGTAAATGTGGTTAACCAGAATATAACTTTCAAGTCTAATAAACCAAAGCTTTGGGTCGGTGACTTTAAAAGAGGGGGTAGGAAGATTAATAGACCTCACGGACGTGGTTTGCTGTAAACTCGACAGTGTTTTCAGAAGACATGTTTATAAAAAAAATTTAATTAGTACACGAATATAATGTAACAGTCACAAAGAAAAATGGACGGACAAAAACAATGATAATAACAAATGGCACAATTTATAACATAGAACAGACTTACTAAATTGCACCAATATATCAATTGTTTGTGAATAATCGTTGCTTACTATAATTATTATCGTCACGTCCAGTAATGTTTGTGAAATAATGTACGTGTAATTAAAATAGTAATATAATAGATCCTTACTTACGATTATAGTCCATGTGATAATCCGGATCGAGACGATGTACGTTGGATTTTCGGAATTCGACTATATCGTCGAAAGCCGTTTCCTGGCAGCACGTCGGGGTTACCAGTTCTGTAGTGGTTGTACTTAGTTGACCAATCACCCTCGTGCCCGTTATCATATAATCCTCAAAGGTGTTTGAAATCAGAAGGCAAAGAGAATCAGAGACTACAGTTTTATTAGCAGATAACTCAGAACACAAAGCAGAGAGGCAGGAAGCACAACATATGGGACTGCGTTAGTAGAGAACAAAAACAGGCCATTGATTATTGGGAAACAAATTCGTTAACTGTAATTCAGAATGTGCTATTAACATTCATGCAAGACGACGAAAGTCCCAAACTCGCTGATTGTCAGACGTGTACTCTAACCTCGAATAAAACGCTGTGTTGCGAAAATTGTCAGTCTCTAGAAGCGTGTGGGGCTTCTCACACTCACATTCTTTACGTAACTTGTTATTATAGACCTTAAAACAAAACCGTTCAGTCTATGGTTTTGTAGCGTGACGTCGAGTTGAGATTAACTATGAACACCGCTACCAAGAAACACGTGCCAAGTAAATCAGAAGGCGAAGGTTGAACATAACCAAATAAATCCATAAAATCCCCGAGAAGCCAAATATCAGAAGGCAGTTAATGGATCAAGTTGAGATATATTTGCTGGCGATCTCGTGGTATCGAAAGGATACCGAGATCGTGCCAGGATACAAGCTTGGTTACAGAATGTAACCGAATTCGCGCGAAGTCACAATCAAAGCGTAAGAATAAGAATGGAAGCACAATATATATCTGTCATTAGCACAGTCAAACAAAAGCACATTAAAACAAACACTGGTACAGTTGGTTATAATAATAATTGTTTTTATTAAACCAGTCGTGTTCTCGTGATAAATGTGAGTCACTAAAGTTTCTAGAAAATACAACACAGAAGCAACCAGGCTATTTACACTTAAATAGACAGAATACTTAGCTTAAGTTGTTAGCGACCACCTTTGTAGTCTTCAAACATTAACCGACTACATAAACATACAAACACCTGCGAACCATTTTAGCATACACACACATCAGACCTGTTGAATTTTGGTCTACTCCGATATTAGTACTACTCTAGTAATAGACCTAATCCCAAAATTGTATATTTGCCATCACCAATATATGATGGAGAAAAAACTTAGGCTAGAGATGGAACAATATATTTAATATAAATAAAAGATATATGACAACACTCAAGAGTGACCACGCCTGCAAGGCCGAGCCATGCCATCTGACCAATTCAAATTAATTGGACTCATTCTTCCCGCCTTCAGCATCGTTGGATTTTTCTCCACGTTAAATGCTGAATATCTATTTCCCCAGCTTTGAGGATTATGTGGTTAGGGCCAGATACTACTACAGACCTCAAGCACTCCAAATACAGGATCCCCGTCGTTAGTCAAGCCCTTCAAGGTTGTGGAGGTTAATTCGCTATCAGGTTTGAAGGCCGGTCACCGTTCGTGCTTGTTGATGGCGGATGAGGCGTTTGTCATAACAGATCAGGAAAGACTTGATCGCCTGAATAATGAAGCCAGAGAGAAAAGGAACAGAGATATACCCTTTACTCCAGACATTTCTCAGCCATTTTATAACTTTGTTGAAAAAATTTTTGGAACTGAGAAACCTTACGAGGCTGGTTAGTACTAATTGTTATCTTCGTGAAAATGTTGTTCTAGGACATGGGTTCCCTTTAACTTACGCATCTGGAGGAAACTTTCTCCACCGCCCTTTCCTAGATTTCCCCGCCTTACAGATGGGCACATCATGGTTTACGATGCAGAATGTTTTTAGTTCAAGATTTTGCCAAATCATGGAGCGTGACTTCTTCCGGTAATTATATCTCGAACACTTTTCTCAGATCTTAAAGCTGTGTTGCAAGAGTTGGCCTTCAAAATACAGACAAGCATTGCAAAATGTACTGGGAAGATTTGCTTGAATGTCAGAACCATGATAAAGCTGTAAGTTGTTTTTTTATTTATAGTAATTCCTCTTCATAGAAAAAAAGAGCTGTCATGATGAAAAAAGTTAGAGAGGTAAAGAAAATGGAGCCAATGGCCACTCTGCCGTACAGCGCATTTAAAGACCCCGACTTCTGATGACAATTGACTTTCCATGTTCATTTCCAGTGATATTTATGAATGACAGTTTGTTTTATTAGTGTAGATCTACGTCCTCAATCTGTGACTAGTAAAATCTTGTTTGCTTCCCGTACTGTTTGTTCAACAATAAACCAATTTAGCTCTCAAAGTAGTCTGATTGATACATATGTACACAAGGTTTTCGCATTCAGCTTACAAAAAACAATTCATCGTAAAGCTTCTAAGCTGTTGCATAGAACAAGAAATTCTCAGCCAATTGTCGTAGTCTGCTTTTCAACCATATCGACAATATAATCTTGGCTACAGTTCGATTATCCAAAGTTCTGAAATGCAAATGTCGAAAACCTAATGGGCTAACTGGCTGTCCGACCGAGTTTCCAGTGTAGTCTTGTCGGCCTTCAAAAAGAATGGGGGACCCTTATCTTTCAGCATTAAGATTTTACCATGAAAATTGAACTCACTAGAGATGCTTTCGCTATTCACAACATGACCTAAAAACAGTGTTTTTTAGTTTTTTTTTAACTTAACGGACATCGTTAATTGACGAAATTAGAGTCGTACCCCCTGATACGTTGTTTTATGACACCGTGATTCATGTAGCATATAACATTAGACTATGAAAACATCGGTTGCCAAATAGCCGTGTTAGTAAATTCAGACTATCTTATTTAAGTTCTCAAGACAACTGCGATCACTTGTCAAAGATAATGTGTAACATGGCTTAGAATTACTGCTTATACGCTTACTACCTTTACCACTACGGGATTTGAATCGATAATTGTATCTGTGTGCTAATGCATTATGGCAACTCGAACTGATGTACGTACGTACGAAGTTCTGCGTTGTTACTGACTGACTGAGAATAAATTTTGATTGCGTAGATGTATTTACTCTTCGCATTCATGTCTTCTCGTACTTTTTGTCTATCAGCATCATCTCTTTTAAAACTATATTCTTTAGTATTTAGCTCTTCTCATTATCAGTGATAATACCATTATTTCGGGTCTTTCACTATTTCGTGATTTTCACTTTGCCGTGCTGATTTGGTCATGAGACGTGGACCTACTTGAATTTGTACCAAGCTCTGTGTCCGTCATAACTGACTAACTTCGATGCGTTCATGAAGAAGGACGAGACATTCTTTATGCTCTGTTTATCATTCTAGTTTGAACTATAAGTAGGCATGAGTAAAGCATTTAATAGTCTTATTTATATAGATTGTTTTTGCAGGTAAAAATATTAGTCTTCATATTTTTTTTCATCGCATAACCAAATACCTTGTTTTTAATTACTAAGTTGACTATTTGCAGATCTCCCAGGTCGAATTAAGCAGCTCCCTTGTACCTCGTTAAAATAAGCTTGGATCCAAATACGTAGGCTGCAAAGCCTCAAAATTACTTTTAATCATCAAACATGCCAGACAATCCCACATTTATGTTTAAATTGGTTGTCGATATTTCGGTATAATTATAGTCATGATTATAAGGCGTCGACTGCATGGGCATAGTACTGCCTAAGCTGTTTAAGTTTTTCCCTTCTGTTGCATCGGTGCTTTACTTCCTGACTTGTGTTCGTGTTTAATTACTGTAGTGTCAGTTTATGGTACACCCCGAACCATCAGTTGGTTCTTATTATGACGTTTCTACGTGTAAAACAAAACAAAATGCGTTTTTTTATTTACATTAAAGTTTCTGCAGATAAATCTAGGAAATTTCATGTTTTATTTATGGGAAATTGACAACTATTTAGGAAATGAAATATCCGGATTATACACTAACCATTATTTCGACTTATGTCTAGTAAAGGGGGTTATTGGGGATTTGTTTGATTTTTGAGTGGTATTCGTCACAGATTGACTTAGGTTGTGCTACCATTAAAGACCATAAAGAACTGATTAACTGTTTTGTTCTGGTTTCATCCTTAAAAGTAGAGACCCATAACCCACTCAGGCATCAGATTTAGGACCTACAAGTCTCTTTGAGAGGCCTTGAACACTAATTCACTTAATTGGCATCCAGTGGCAGACGTTTTTTTTCGGCTTCATGATATGACTCGACGATATCTAGTGATTAACACCAGGTAAACACACAGTCACATATGGGTGTCCAGACCAGTATATTTGGATTTTTTAGTACACAAGACTGTTTGGTCGCGTACAAAAACTATGACATGCATAAAAGTCGTTAGTGAAGATAACAGGAATGTGGTGCGAAGTACATAGTAATTAACTTGGACTTCATTACATTCAGAAATGTAAGACATGACGCGTCTTCTACAGATGTAGTTAATGCTGGATGAACTAGATCACAGAAATTAAAATCAAGAGTGTAACCCAGCAACTCGTGTAACTTCTAGATGAGTGCTTTAAGTTTTAGCAAGAAATAGCCAGTAGAATCCAGACATGTTGGAGTGATACAGTCATTATCAATGACATTAGATGATCGTCGGTTTATATCACCGAATGATTAGAACTGAGATTTTGTTTCATTAATCGAATGTTTAGGCGTTCGCCTCGAGGCCTGTAGATCTTGAATACAGTCACTAGAGAGAGGGTCATAGGCGACACTCGAGGAGTCCTATACTAGGACGAAGCGGCTATCTAGTGTTTCTTGAATTCTAACGGTATCTCACCTGAGGTTGTTTTGGGCTTGACCCCCCCTACACATTGTAGCAATCTCCGCTAAACATAGGTCTTAAAATTGTTTAAGTATGTGTGGCAAGTTGATCATGAGGACATGGTCAGACTACCCATTTTCTCAAAATGTCTTTAAAATTTGGAACCAAATACAAGTGGTGCCGTCAAATCGCTTAGTTGATTCAGAGATTGCTATATAAACGTAAGGCCGATATACTTACCTCATACACCAATCCACTGATTTATACCGAAAAGCAATGAAATGTAAAGATTAATACAATTAGGTGTAAACAAGCATTTGTTGGATCAGTATCCGGACGGTTCAGTCACTTAACGTCCAGACATCGCTTGAAGTGATCTAAGTAGCTAATAATTACCTCGTTGACGTAAATGAATCATTTAGTAGATAGTATGTGATTTTGAATAACTTGTCTCAAGTAATGGTGGTTCTTGCGTTTTGAAAGCAATCAATCCTACAAATACAAAGTAAAGAGGCTTTGCTCCAAGTTTGCATAAAGGATTTCGTATTACGCTAAATAAGAAAATATTAGCAAGTAGGTCACCGGAAAAACAGGCGGCACGAATTACAATGAAGATATCGTGGTATGAATCTATACATAATTATCAGTGACAACTCAAAAAGCTTCCGAGAATATATCTATCTTATTACCTTTGGAAAAAAGTTAAAGATCTGGATTGTTTCCTTGAGTTTGTTACTACTAAACTCCAACGTAAAACCGAATAACTACTCGATCCGATCTTTTTGTTCAACGGAAACGTTCATATTTCAGTACGACGATGAATGTGATTACGTTATTTTGAAGGTATCAGTCTTGATGATATCTGGAAGTAGTATAAGGTTTTATGCTGAGCCTTATTTTCGATTCACTAGTCAGGATCAGTGGATTTCAGGAGTGGCGGGGGCAAAATGTCACCAGTGAATGGCCGTCTGATAATATCACTAATTGATTAGAATTGGAAGTGTGTGCCATCGGATACCAACCTAGTGCTCTTGTAATTAAAGTTGTCTCTTAACATGTCCTGTTGGTACTGTCATCTACTGTGTGCTGGGGACTGAACAATATGGCTATTGTGCGAGTTTTTGTTTTAAGATTCCAAGTAACAAATGTATGAGAATGAGAACTTCATAACAGAAATCTAGTAGGAATATTATTTATGAGTACACTTGAATGTCCACAAACCAGGATATACGTACTAACATTATCCTGAGTAAATTTTCCGGGAATCGGTGATAGAATTGGTTCATTGTTAGAGCTAGATTCATATTACGTAATTGAGTTTCAGGTCAGTTTTGAAGCGTCAGCTGTTACAGTTGAGCGGCTATAGCAAAAGTTGTAACTTTTGGGATTGTCGTTCGAAGGGTTAGTTTATATTCTTATTGTATAATTATTGGGCACTTAGATTATTGTTTTCTCATATTCTCCCGTTAGTCAGCCTTTGCTGAGTGCATAAACTAATTTTTCATGTTGTACTTTCCATAAATTACTGTTAATTTGTTACGGAACTATTATTCAGTTTTCTTTCACGTAGTTTTACTCCCCTCCAAATGCCCTGATATGGCCGAGAGTGGGGTGGTCCCGCACTCCCTCTCGAAATGCTCTCACACGAAAACACGTATACAGCCTCTGCTAGGGAAGTCCTACTCACTGCCTTCTCGTGGCGGGGGTGTTGTTTACGAAAATGAGAGGACGAAAGGCGACTGTTCAGCGCTTTAACCGGATTCCAAACCAATGGTGCATATGGGCTCCAGTATCCTGGGGGAACAAATGGCGTATGGACCAAGTGTTGGTCACCGGCTACCATGGGACTGCTCCACTGCCTTATCGGTCAGACTTTTGGGTCAAAGGCTCGGGGAGTGGCCCCCCAAGAAAACCACCTGGTTCGGTCTGGGCACCCGAGCAGTATCACAGCCCACACACAAATAAACTGAAAATGACAATATTTACTGAAAATTCTATTCACGCTTCGATTAACAGTCAAACAATTCACATTATTATTCTTATTATTCTTATCATTATTTACCACGTCACTTATTCACTCTCTTTTATTCCCACTTTGTGTATCCTTACTTTTCGACCTATACAGCAGCTCGCTTATGGTGGAAACTTGGTTCTATCTAAACGTTCTCGAGTCACTGCCTGGTTGAAAATTGTATGCTACCAACAAATACGAATACTGAAGCAGTTTTTCTGAAATCACGTGCATCATTCAAATTGGCTGCCTTCAACTTTTTAGCGCCTTCGTGATGTCAGTCTGGCTGTAAAAGGTCGGATCTACAACACGTCGGTGAGAGTAGTTCTGCTCTATGCTTGTGAAACCTGGCCTCTCCGAGTTGAGGATGTTAGACGACTCTCTGTGTTTGATCATCGTTGTCTCCGAAGGATTGCTAACATCCAGTGGCAACACCATATTAGTAATGCAGAGGTTCGACATCGTGTGTTCGGGCGCAGAGACAATAATCCAATTGGTGTCACCATCTTGAAACATCGACTTCTGTGGCTTGGACATGTTCTACAAATGTCGTCCCAGAGAATTCCACGTCGTGCATTATTTGCCGACGCTGGGACTGGTTGGAAAAAGCGGAGAAGTGGTCAGTGTATGAAATGGTGACGTGGTATGAAAGAAAGCTGCAAAGGGCTGGCTTGTGCTGGTCCTTCACGACTCCCTGGCTGGGGTCCGAGAGGTGGTGCAACACAGTGGCTAGAGACGTTATCAAATATGGCTCAGAATAGAAGACAGTGGCGATCCTGCTGTAACCTTCTTTTACTTTCTTCATAAAAAGCGGTTGTGTCTCCCTTAACTGAAAGATTTCTTCTGATTGTACCTTTCCGTTTCCCCCATTATTATTATTATTATTATTATTATTATTATTATTATTATTATTGCACTACCTTACACTAATCTGGTCGTTATTGTTCTTTTTTCTTACACGCTCCTTACCTTCTTTTTTCTCTTTTCCCATTCTGATTGTTTTATGTGGCGCATGTATATTTGGTGCCCCACTTGTACCAATATTTATGTATTCAGATTAATAAATAATAATTAAATATTTATGAAGAGTCCCAAACAAAGACGAAACAGTTATCGAATCCTTCCTGGCTTTGAGTAGTTTTCTTGCCGAAAGTGGTTTATGACGAACAAATTTCAACTTTAGACTGATTTTCACGGCTATCCAACTAGACTTGGACTTTTGTTTATTTAAAAGAATTCATTGTCACGTAAAAAGTGACTACTCAGTAGTAAAAAAATCTGAATGCTACTATTATATTTAAGAAGTCAGTCAGTCATAAGCAACGTAGATCATAACACATGTATCAATCTAATTTGCTCCAATTCAGATCCAAGTACAGAGCAACGTTGTTAAAAGGCAGTACAATCTAGTTGAAATAATCTTAGATTGCATCCATTGGAAAGGGCCGACATTAATAAGAGCGCATACTAATAATGGTGAGTAGTGAAATAAGGAATATTATTTTCAATGATTTGAAATATTTACGATTTGCCCTCTGTCCCTATGCCATACGACCAATCAAAAACAGTTATTTAAACGTCTTATGAAGTCTATTTACAACGAGTACTGTAATTCTTCGAATTCGGTAACGAATGTTTATCTATATTACCCTAGTCATTCCATTTCGTGCGTCTATTTAGGATAGCTAGATAGTATGTTTAAAAGGTTTCAAAAGTGTTTGAGAAATATTTCGTAAATCTCACTTTGAATAAGCTTTAGATGCTAGAGCTATTCCTTTCTTTTAGAATTAAAAAGTAATACTGAGCATTCTTTATTACATATATTCCTTTGTGCTCTCTAGCGAAAATTAATCAATTTTTGTTCTGTATATTGCTGAAATTCGTGATAATAAGAGTCAAATGACCACTTTATTGAATATTAATTAGATGAACAGGTGGAACATATTAGATGGATTTCTTGCGATTATTACTATTCAGTAACATATGGTCATTAAGTATTTATGTAAGTCAGAATATCATTTATCCCAGTTAAAATAATACTCAGGCTTATGTTTGAAAAAGAGAAACAGTTAATTTTTCAAACTAGTCAAATTACAAATTCAACTACATCCCAACAATACATTGTAGATGATCTCGCTGAAGAAGCCGTAGCAGTTCATCATTTCAAATCTGAGCTGTGTGTGCAAGGGCGTGACGCCAAGCTGTCATCATACCATGACTCGAATGGCTAATTTTTCACACAGTCAATAGGTTATTGATACTTCATCTTTATAGTCTTAGTTTTTAATCATTTGTTATTATTACCTTCATGTCTAATTCATTGTTCATCTTCCACACACTCCCTAATTATCTTTTAAACATTTGGTTTTATTATTTTTATCTTCGATTATTTCAATCTTTGGATTTGTGTACTACTTTTTATATTTTTTGACAGTCCAGTAGACGTAACTAGCATAAGCCAGTAAGTAAGCGACATAGACATTTAAAATTCGAAACCTGACTCTCCAACACGTTGATAACTCAACCTAAAAGGGAGATTTATTACAACTGTAAAATAATCCTGTGAATATGTAAACTAAGTGAGCATAATAAATGAAAAGGAGGTAAAACCAGTTTCATGTAGATGTAACTGTTACAGACATTACAAAGTTTTCGTAACACATTCAAACATGGTTAGATGTGTATATTCAAATTATATGCCATAACACGTAAACAGTAGTGTCAATCTATTTTCTTAGTGTTCGAATAGTTTGTTAAGTACTGTTACATCTTCTTACTTTCTTTTTAAGTGCTGTTGCTGGGTTCCGGAAACAAACTGTTAGATTTTCAATCCATTTATAGTTTGCTCCTTCTTCAGATCATCAATAAATTTCCATGTACTCGGATGAGCAGCATCAATAGGTTGGTTAAAGCCTCTATACCACCCCTCCATCACAATGTTTGTTTTAGAAAGACCGTTCAACACGGAAGGTCAATTAAACTGATTTCACACCATCGAAAGTGCTATTCCCCATTTCACTGCTCACTCTTACTAATATGGACCTTCTTGATGGTCGCCCCTATTAATCCGCATCTTTTTTCACCTACCCTTATTAGTGTGAACCGTCACTTGCGCTCAAGTCAGTTAAGATCTAATTGTTAGGTCTAATTTCTGCTCATCGTATCAGTGATGTAAAACAACCATTAATCATTATCAGCCATAAAAAATCTAGGTAAACAAGTAGTTTTTGTGTTTATGTACGTCACTTCTCAGTACTCACTATTATTATTATTCCAAATTAGCTGAAGCCATCCACGATTTATTGTACCATTATAAAATAATTTTTCAGAAAGCTTATGCTTTTATATAAACAGTTCACATTTTATTATAACAGTCTGACTGATGTTCTGGATTATCCAACTTCCCGTTCAGTACTTCAGGTATGAATTATATACTACAAATTTAAACTTCATCAATGAAAGATTAAACTTCAAGGTTCGATTAGTTACTAAGTAAAAAATCTTTTTCTCCTGTTAATGCAAATCTGTACAACATAGTAAAATTCTCCGCTTTAATTCAGATTATCACATGGGGTTTTGTGGAAATTTTAGAAATTTCAGTAGTTGAAGTCATGAGTCGATTGAAGCTAGACCACCATGGAAAACCTGGAAGCACTGGACGGCCGTTTCGTCCCAGTATGGGATTCCTCGGTAGTGCGCATCCACGACGGCGCTCCCCGCGAGATTCGAACCATTAGACCACTGAGCTGACATCCGACGGTGTTAATGTCTAACTTCAACCAATCCACAAAATTGCGCCACCGTACACCATTGTCTTCAGTGAGCTGTTATGTAATTCATTCAAATAATATTTATTCTATTACTCTCTTTTTAAAAAACTTTGTTAGTTCATATAGTCTACAAAAATAAAGATAAATTTTATACTTTAACAGGGATAGATCTAAGTTCATGCAATTTTCTTTTGAGTAATCAGCAATTTATATTTAGATGATCTATTACTTAATATCATTCACATGTATATTAAGAATGGTA